TCCTGAGGGTCCCACCTCACACTTAGAGAACTACTGGTGTAGTGCAATCACCACTTAATTGCGTGAGTGTAATGTTACATGATGCAAGTACAATTTCATCAGACATTTTACATCTGATAATTTTTAAAAAACACCACAATCAGTTTCAAATTGTTATGGAAAAAGCAGAAATTAGTGGCAAATCCTTTGTTAAAATTCCAATAAAAGCACAATCTAAATGCAGATCAGTACTTGAGAGGACAACTTCAAGTCTAGTCCCTTGGAAACTGGGCTTGAACTAATCCTGGAAATGAACAATTTTGTTCTATGCTTAAAACTTTCCTTTTTATATCTTGAATGGACTTGAATACCAGTATTACAATGTGTTGAAAATGAGAAAGGTGCTTGAGCTAGGTCCCCTCCCTGACATGCAGAAACATGGGTAGCAATTTTCATTCTGATGTCTCAGTGTTCAAGAGAGGCAATTCATTGTATTTTTAAACCATCACATTTCAAAATGAGGGGCAAGGCTGAGCTAGCTTGAAATGTAAAACTAGGTCCAGAATGCCTGCACCTAATTTATTTCAAACAATCTAGGAATATTTGAGGTATGGCATGACCTTACAGCAGTATTCTGTCATTGTTGAAAGGCTTTACATGTCTTAGCCAGGACTTTGAACAAACTGGCAGCCAGTGGAGCTACTGTAACAGGGAAGTAATATGGTCCCTGTAATTTGTCCAATTAACATAAAATTCCAGTTATAATAACTCAAGTACCTGAATCCTGGAATTTATTTTAATGAAAGGACAAATAAAAGTAGTGGTTTGAGTGTAGGAATATGGCTCTTGGAGATCAGGGTTCAATTCCCTGCTTGAGCATAAAAATCTATTGGATGACCTTGAGCAAGTCAATCTCTCAGCCTCAGAGGATGGCACTGGCAAGAAAGCTCTATGATGGATTCACCTTAGGTTATCACAAGTCAGAAATGACTTGGAAACACACAACAACACAGCAACAAAATCTTTCAGTTACATGAAAAGTTAACCAACAAAATTACTAGGAAATAACTAAGAAATAACAATGGAGTTGGCATATTGGTTTGTTATGTATAGTAATACCTATTATCACATTGTTTGTTATATTTATATATGATGATATGCATTATGCAAGGAACTTACATGGTTATCTAGAAAGAGAGTCAAACAGACAGACAGACACTTTTTAGATTAGAATGAATGTGTTTCATGGCTGGGATATTTGAACCTGGATCTCCATAATCCTACTCCAAAGCACTTTGAATCAATAAATTGATTCTATCATCCTGATCTTTCTTAGGGAAAGCTGCTAAGTTGCCAATGAAGTTACACCAGTCTAAACACTGCACTCCACACACACAGGAATAAGTCTCACTTTCTGTTATAAATTAGAATGTATTTTGTATATAAGAGGAAGCCCCCATCTATGATCTATGGGGCAGTCTACACTTCACAAAAGAGAGTGGCATAGACTGTGTACAAGCAAGTTCCATATGCAATGAAGAGCTACCTGACAACAATGACAGAATACTGCTGTAAGGTTATGCCATACTCCAAATATTTCTAGAATAAAGGGATTACTTCTTGAAATCATAAGCTTGTCACACTTTTGGCATGTTCCAGCATTTCACAGATGAAAATACAGACAAAGGAATTTGCAGGGAATGTGGTCAAATAACATATGAGTGTAGTCAAGAGGATTTGGCCAAAGAACATGAGGGCATGGTCAAGGATGTGGGCAGGAAACCCAAGGGCATGGTCAAGTGCAAATGTTATTAATGAGGAAGAACATAGAGAACAGCAGTTACTATGAATATCAAAATCATGGAATTTATGTTTCATATTTATGGAAGCTTGTAAAAAGAAGAAAACCTCAAATCAATCAATACAACATTATATGTATCCTTCCAAACAAAAGGATAACATTTGTGGTTGCTATTTGAGGTTATGGTGGAGGGGTCATTTTAAGATGATGCTTTCTCTGCTAACTTTCTTCTAATCTGCATTTTTAAACATTAAAGGAACCCTACAAAATATCTGAAGAATAATCGTAATTATTTCTGTAGAGATGCTTCACCATTGCAATTCACCATGCATTAGAAAAGACGTTTATAAGGCAACACAAGTGGTGGTGGTGGTTGTATACAAAGTACATTCCTTAAAGTATAGCAGGACCAAGTAAAATTGACCATGGCTATGAAAACAGACTATTGGTGCAATCCAGTCTTATCAGTCATCAGGATTTGGCAGCTACTGCTACATCTTTGGGCAGTGAATTCCACAGTTTAACTATATGCTATGTGAAGAATTTCATTTTGCCTGTCCTCAATCTGCCATCATTTCTGGAGAAATCAAAGGGCAGATTTTAATTTTGAAGAAGTTTTTATGTTATTATATGAAACAGAAGTACATGCAAGATCTCTGCTTCTGTGCAGGTTAATTAGCTAAAGCTTTGAAAGTCACTATTCTTAGATATTCTAACTTGAAATTTACAAACAATGCAGGATGATAGATACTTATACAGTTTGTAATGTATTCTCTTCATTATAACTTTATGGTGATCCATGCCTTGTTCAGCTAACATCACTGGGATGAGGAAATAAAGCTGACTCATATTTTCCCCCTTATTTAAAAACCATGTTCCATAATCCAAAACATTAGCCTTTTGGAAAGGTAGCTTCAAAAGACCTCAGTGTCTTGTGATTTATGAAAACAGTTTCACAAAAGTCTGATTTTTTTTTTTTTTTGCTGGAAGTACTCATAGTGATATAAAACCCAATTACATGTATGTCCCCAAATGAATGTGATACAATTTTTAATGTCACTACAATTTATAATTAATTTTTTTAGATAGACTAAAACAGGGGTAGGCAACCTTTCCCCTTTAAGCGCCGAGGGACTTCAGCTCCCAGAATTCCAGGAGGTATTGGCCAACATGGCTGAGGCTTCTAGGAGCTGAAGTCCCTTGGCCCTTAAAGGGGAAAGGTTGCCTACCCATGGACTAAAATAATCTATTTCTTCTGTTTCCAAGCATAAGATCATGGAGAAAGGCCTATAAACTATGAGTGCTTTTATTATACTTTTCACAATAGCAGATTTGGGAAAAGGCATGAGCTGCATTTTTAGAATCTTCAAAATACATTAATAAAACTTCAAAACAAAACATCCAATATCAAGCAATATATTAGAAACACACACACACAAATTATAACAAAACTCAGGTTATGGCATTTGGTAGGAGTCCTAAAATACACTCCTGGCACTTAGATGAACATATAATAAAACAA